TAAATAAATTAAAAAAAAAAGTTGTTTTAACCAAAGTTTACACGTAATTAACAATGAGAACACGTAATAATGATAAAATTATTAGTTTATAATTTGGGATATGTATTCCGTCTCTTTCATCCCCGAAAGTTGCATTCACCGCTCCGTGCTGTTTAAATATTTATTTTTTATTCATAAAAAATATTAAATCCAATTTTTAAATCATTGAAGGTATTTAAAAAAAAAAAAAACTTAGTCAAAATAATATATATATTTAATCTGAAAAAGTCATTATACATTGAAATACAATTTTATTAATATATTAATAAAATATTATAAATAAATTACTATCAATTCATAATATAAATATAAAATAATAAATTTTGTATATAAATTTAAATAAATTATAAAATTTTTAATTATTAAATTACTGTAATTATTGTTAAAAATATTTATTTAAAAATTAAAATATAATATTATAATATTAAAAATGTTAATTGTTGTTTTGATAATAATTATATAAGTTAAGAGTTTATGAGAAAAAAAAAGGCTTCAAATAATATCACAAATTAAATTTTTAAAAAATGTAGAGTAAATTTTAATCTCAAAAGAAAATTATTAGTTTACATAAAAATTAAATTTTTTTTTATAAAAAAATTACTTAATGCAGTAAATAATTATTTTCTCAACACGAAATTTAGCAAAAAGTTATTAAAAATTCTAAATTAAATATATAAAATTATAGTTTTAATTATCACCCCCTCTAAAATTAAAAAAAAAATTATTGAAAATGAAAAATAAAGCAAAATCTTGATTAGCTTCATATGACGTGAAGGAAAAAAAAGTCAAAACATTTACCTAACAATATTCATTGCGACCGTGGAGAATGCAAAAACTAGGAAAGAAGAAAATGGCGCGTGATGACAAATCAGCTGAATGGGCGAGTCCGCCAATAGAAGGAGACGGGGGTCCACGTCCTTCTCCGAATAGAAAAAAGACAAAAAAGGAGAGAAAAAGAAGATGCTGACTTGTCTAAATCGGCGATTAACGCCGATCAGTTAACCGATTCCTCCGTCAATTAATTCCTCAGCGTAAGTTTAAAATCTTTGAAATATTTCTTCTTCATTAAAGTCTTTAGCCGTTATCACCTGACATTTACCGTTGTTAACGTTTACAGAAAACTGAATCTCGTCTTCCTCACCTTCTGTTTTCTTAAATGTTTCCGAGAGCAGAGCTTCACGGCATGCGTTCTCCTTTAGATTTGGTTTTTTTTTTTTTTTTTTTTTTAATGTTAAGTTGACAAACTCCTCTAGACATATACCACCTTCACTGTATATTTTTTCCGAGTAGGTATAGAATAATACAGTGGGTTCCCGATGAAACCGCTTTTGGGAAACGAAAGTCAAGAGTTAAAAAAATTGAATTTGGAAGATTTGACAGTTCCAAAAACAGAAGAAGAGGTCTTCGGTGGTGTCAACGTGGTGAGCTGGGAAATTGTTATTTTATACAAGGAGATAGCGAGAGAGAGATGATAATAAATGAGACTGTTTTTTGTTGAGTAATATGCCTGCTTTCATCCTATTTATCTTTTTCTCTGTCGCTTTGTTGATGTACGCTATTTTTGCATAACGTCGAGCGTTACCCAATAAGTCAGAAAGCTCTTCCTCTCATTCCGACTTCCCCCTTTGCTCTGTCTCTTTCACCATCCACCAATTTCGCGATCTTTTCTTCTCTTGGCTTCGTTATCACCATTGTTCTCTCCCTTCACCTCCATTTCCCTCCGCACTCTGTTCATCTCTTGTCGCCACACGGAACCAAGTGCCCATTTCCTCCATCCACAAATTCTCATCCTCCCTCTCGCTCAACTCACTTCGACCTACCTCAGTACCTCCTTACTTTCCCTCCGTTTGCCTAAAAAAACTCTTGAGAAACAGACAACATAAGCCGTCTCTTGCTAGTGTCTCTTTGCCGCCGGCTCACCACTTCCTGCTTTCCTATCCACCAGGGAAAGCTACTTAATTCTCCTTTTTCGTGCTTCGCTCAACCAAAGCTCAGGGTGCTCGCACAGCCGTTGGCCTTCCTCTGTCATCTGCTGATCCCCTCTATTCCTTCCATCTCACTGTGGCCACTTGGTAAGTTTATACTCTTTCCATTTTAAACAAGTCTATGAAGCTTGAGGATTTTGTTTTCTCCTGATTTGTGTCTATGAGCCGTATTTCCAGTATATTGCTAGTAAATGTTCTTATCTTGCGGTTTTGCTCATGTTTCCGTGGATTGAGAACTTGCTGGTAAACTAACTGGTTCTTGGATGTTTAAATGAAGTTTCGGATGTGACACTAAATATATATTTTTTAACGAAAAATGTGCTCATACTTGTTTCTACATGGTTCTTGATTATTAGAAAACAGCATTTCTGATATTTGGTGTTTATTCAACCACATGGATGAGGTTCCCGATGCTAGTTTATCAACTATGCTTTGTTTTTTTTTCCTCATAAAAAATGTCAAACATTTCTGGGTTTTCTTTTGTTCTATGGCTGCTTGGTTATGATTTTTTTTCCCAAATGTTAATAAATAGACAGATATTTCGGTTTGCTCTATCCCTTTATTCTCTGATAATTTGAACCAAAATGGTTGCCTGGTCATAATTTAAACCTTTTGCTATCTAGTTAGTACACAAGTAGAGGGCTGATAGCCTAATTCTGGATTTTGGGTTCCTCGTGGTTGCTTGATTATGTTTATTTATCATTTTGGTTGTTAGTAGCTAAGTAATGTGAGAGTATTTGTTTGGCTGCTGAGTTACCAGATATCAGCAAATATATATGTCGAATCCACCTGATTTTGAGTTTGTTTTTAGTAGTTTTGTTGGGATTTAAGCTGCTAATGGGTTGTACATGAATATTAAATAGCTTCAGTTTTCTGGTCTTGGCCACTTCTTTTCTTTTAGTGTGGGGTTTACGGGATTTCATTGTCCCAAAAGAAAGACAGGGAAATGTTCTTG